TCGGCGCCGTGCGCCGCCTGCTCACCGGCTCGCAGAGCGAGTCCTCGGCAAAGGTCCGCCTGGCTAAGCGCGAGGCCCGCGAGGCCAAGCTGCGCGGCGCCCGCGCCGTCGCCGCCCCGCCGCTGCCGTCCCCGTCGCCGCGCGTCGTCGCCGCCGCACACGCGCAGCCGCTCGCATTGCATGAGCAGCTCGCCCCGCAGGAGCACGCCACGCATGGCTCGCGCTGCCCCACATGCGCCTCCGTGCAGAGCGTCGCCCAGAGCGACCTCACCGTCAGGCCCGTCGAGACCCAGGTCGCACTACTCAGGGAGCTCTCCATGGGCAGCGTCCCCGACGATGTCGACCGCCTGCAGGCTTGTGCAGAGGGCGACTATCAGACCTTTCTCAGGCTGTTTCAGATCGCGTGTGATGTCCAGGCCATCGTGGGCGTAAGCCAGGGAGGGGAGAGTATGGGGCACTTGAGGGCCGAGCGCCTCAAGGCCATGGGCCTGTCGTTGTACGGGCCGGCGAGTACCGTCACCCTAGTTTCGAATGGCGCAGGCGTGCTCTTCGTGCTGCAGAGGGATAGCTTGACGAGCTTGGTGTTTGAAGGCGTCCAGTTTGACCTTGACCCGGGGGAGGACGTCCCGGTTGATTTGATTCTCAAGGCTGTGTTGGAGACCTCCCAGAACGTCGATATTGATGACTTGAAGGCCATTCTCTCCAGTATCAAGTTTCCCATCCGTTTGGATGAGACGGATGGCATTGCCGATATTAACTCGGGCGGCCTGGATATTCCGGGCGTCACCCTCACCAGGTCCGAGTTTTATACCAGCAGGGTTCTTGCTATGATGATGAAGACGGATATTTACGAACAAGGGTTTTACAAGAAATACGTTCACAGCGATCGTCTGGGCACCACCTTCACTGCTGTTCGCGAGGGGGAGACTGCCACGCTCACCAAGATCAACGTCCTCCCGGATGCCCTCAGCAGACCTGTCAAATGTGACGCCGACATTATCGGAGAAGATCTCTTCATGCACCGCCGAAAGGGACGGAAGGATCGCTTCCGTCTCAGCTGCGCCGTGTCTGTCAATATCTGGGAGGAGTATGAGTCCCCGGAATGGTTTGGCTACATCCATCCCCCCCCGAACGCAGACGCCATCAGACCCGCCGACTTGACCCAGCTCAAGGAGAGGCTCGAAGCGTACGGCGTCCCGGATGGCGGAGAGGTTTGCAGGCTTGTGTTCCACTGCCTTGCCCACAAGTCTCGCAATTCAAACGTCAAGGTCGACACCTTGTCGGCCGCGAGGGGCTACTTTATGTACCTAAAAAACTTCCTCAAGCATGGCACCACCGGCACCTCTTTCAACCATATTGTCGAGGGCGATGAGTTGGCCGTTGTCTATGATGGCCTTGCATACAGGGTTTCATCGCCGCAGACGGAGATTCGACATCGGAGTCTGTTTCATAGTTTGCTCATCAGTGACGAGCGCGAGAGAAACGGAAAAAATGTTCCCCGACGATCCATCCTGCGCCGTATGAGCAGCACCTCGGAAATCGTGTTATCGGTGTGCAAGGACATCACCTACCTCAACGCCGAATACGACGAAGAAGGTGGGACATTGTATTCGGCATCAGCTGAGGAGGAGAATGTTTCTGAAGCTTGGGCCACCTGCACGGCGTTGTATGCGTGTGATGGGTACGGCAGTTTAGAGGGCTGCTTCAACTGCGCCATTGAGTCGCGACGAGGAGCGATCGTAGACGAGTCAGCCGTCTTCACGAATGATGTCCAAGTACCCGTTGTCTTTGACAAGCTCTTCCGCAAGAATTCTATAGCCGAGGAAATGTCCGGCATGAGTGAGGCCAGGGGGCCCACGTATCCCGGTGCGTTTATCTCTGGGAGAGATCAGTGCAACGAACGCACGTTCCTGGCTGGCAAGTCGCACAATATGACAAGTATGACCCTCGCCAGTGTTCTTCGAAACGACCTTCGACTCAAGCCGATCGGAATTATGCTTGGCGAAGGCCGGTACGTTGCTGAAGAGCAAGGGGCTACGCCCGCTTCGCAGCTTCTGGTGCCTCAATCTGAAATGAGTGGTGCCACGTGCCTAGCCCATCCTTATCCTTATCCTCCTCTTTGCTCAAGAACCAAGTTGATTTTGCCCCCTATGTAGCCAATTGTTGTGAAGCGCTTTTGCATGTATGTGTACAGGAGATGGGTTTTAGCATTACAGGCTATTCAATGCGTTCGAGACATCTGATGATATAGGCACTTGCTTGTAAGCGTCCACTATACACTACCTGTAGGTATACAAAATATGTGCCATTGAACACGGCAGGCAAAGGGGGAGAAGGAAATAGTGAAATAAACAGAACACATGTCGTCTGGTGACCGCACCCGCATGGCAATAGTTAAAAACCATGAACCATTAGTCTCTTATCGCTATTGATGAAGGCAATCTTGATGCCTAGGCATATACCTCCAATCCGCTAATTCACAATTTCATACATGGGGACTCACAGTGTCTGACCTCTGCTCTGCAATCAGTCTTTCAACATCCGAACAAAAGCGCCTAGTACCAACACTTCATTTTACATGCTATCTTCAACACTACACATCCGCCGCCTGTGGCATGATCGTAACGAGCTTGCGACGCATCATGCCACCCTCGTCAATTGCATGGGGAAGTTCGTCAAACTTCACCTTTTGCAGCCACCCGGTTAACTCGCCCTCCTCAATCATTTTCACAAGCTCCGACACCATGGCATCAACCGTTGACCGATTCTGCCCTTTCAGCCACGCAGGCAACGAAAACCTTGCCGGTGACAAGCCCTTTGACTTGATGGACGCGTCATCTGATGCCCCGAGGCAATACGTCACGACCGTGCCACCGCCCTGGACCAAGCTCGCAACGACGTCGCAGGAACCTATGGTCGACCCGTTGATGCCGAGCTTGGGAGCTGGCATGTCGCTGATCACAGCCTTGAATTCGTCTGAGGTTGCAAACGCCTCGTCTACAACTACATCGCTCCCCATGAGCTTGAGGCGCTCGACGGATGGCGAGTACTCCGCTGACGTTTCGTCAACAAGTGAAATACTTCTGATTCCCATTGATTTCGCTATCTGCACGAGAGCTGTTCCTACTGGAGAGGAAGCGTTGTTGTGGACAACTACGTCTCCCGGCGATAGGGATCCAAAATCCGACAGGAGGCGGAACGCTGTGAATGGACTCGCAGACAGTGTCGCCGCGAGTTCCAGTGGTATTGTCTTTGGCACCGACACGACATCGCTTTCGCTGATGCTCCCTGTCTCGCACCAAGTACCTGCGGAAGTCTGCATTGGAAAGAAGGCAAAATGTGAAACGAGGTTAGTCACGTGACTCCCCAATTACACGGGCTACATCACAACCCGAAAACGTCCACCTTGGCAGATCCACATAGTCAGAGAAGCACCTACTTTGACCGGAATGACGAAGTCCCCACTCTTCACGGACTTGACATCTGGCCCAACACTGGCCACAACGGCAACACCCTCTGTTCCTGGTACAGCGGGAAACGCGGGCGGCGCATACGCTGCGGCCGAGGGTGCACCACGCATGACGGCGAGATCGACAGGATCAACGCCCGCGGCTAGCCAATTGACCACGAGCTTGTCTCCGGTGGCGGAAGGAATCTTGTTGAGCACATGATGGGACAGGACGGCTGTCGCGGCAGCCCCCTGTTTCTCGATCTGGTACGCGGTAGAGGAGGCGTGGCGCACATGGGAGGCGCAGCGACGGAGATGGGGGAGACGGGAGATCATCGTCACGGATGGAGCGGAGCAGCACTTGGCATAGAAACGCTGGGCGGCTGGTGTGTGGAGACAAGTAGGCAGCAGTAGGTCCGATGACATGCATTCATTGCTCAGCGGAGATTGTAGCTGCTGGCGAAAAAAAAGACATCAATTTTAATACCGTGTGTGCGTTGTGCGAGGCCCTCGCAGCCGGGATGATAGCTCACTTCGTTGTGACCACATTGCTTGCAACCGTGGTGCGAACACTATTATAGAAAGGACTAGAGAAGCCCTTCGCTAACACTGCAGACCTTCAGATTCAGTTATCTGCCGCATGCTTTTTTACCTGGTGGTGTTCAAAGTGCCTCATACTCCAATCTATACCCGCTTGTGCGTCACTTCTATTGCGCCGTTCTCAACGGTGATATCAGGTTCCACAAGCAACTTTGTGTACTCCTCCAGAAGAACCTCCACGTACGCTTCAATTCCATTCAAAGATAGAAAGCTATTTGCAAAATCATTGACATTTTCCACCATAGCGCGCGCCAACTTGTCATTCTCCCTTGCCCATAGCACTTTCTGCACAGTATCCGAGAAGAAAAAGTCGGTGGGAATGTAGTGTACGTTCGGCTTCAATAGCGGTTCGAAAAACTGCCCGCAGGGTGTCTCCTGCTTGATCATCAAAGACGGTCCAAACACATGTGTTCGCAACCTATCAGCCCACATGCAATTGCCTTCTGCATAAAGAATGTATTTGAAGCGGTGATGTTCGTGTGGTTCGAGCCGGTCCAAGCGTGTGCGTTCACCGCCGCATGATCCGCCAATGGAGACGTCCAGTACTTCAGGTTGTTGTGTGGACAAGTAGTGAAGTCTCGTCCTGCCGACATCATGGCAATGCAAATCGGCGTCCGTTTTGTTTCTGAAATACATGCTTGGACGGTTGCCTCCGCGGAAGACGGCTCGGTCTTGCTTTTGCTTCCAGGGTATGTCATCCCTTGCATATTCTCTCACAGTATCATCCCAGCCGGAATATCCTCCATCACGATGTTTGCTTCCCTCCCACATGGGGAATGGAATGTTGTCGGAGAAATTGCAGGAAACGATCGTGAAAGCTGGGTTTGATTCTGGATAGTGTGCCCCACGATAGGTATGCTCCTTGTTCACAGTTTGCACGCAATCATGAATCGCCATAAGGAACTCAGTGTTTTTTATACGTCCTTCGCGTGCAAGTTTCGACAGCAACCATATCACTTGGTTGATTCGTGTTCGATAGAATGGTTTTGAATTACGTGGTACTTCGTAGGGATCCATCATGTAAACTTTGCCATCGACAATTTGAAATAGTATCGTTTGTACTCCCTTGTTCGCCCCGGGCGGCGTCAAGGAATACGTTCGGCGACGTAGGATATCGAAATACATTTGCCTGTAAATGCCTTTTGTGAACGTGGCAAGATATGCCTTTGCTAACCTGCGATAGTAGGACTTCACTTCTTGCATTTGTAACCTTCCTGTGTTCCCTGGCACTTGCAAGTCTACCATGTTACGGTTCATAGGGTTAAGTGGAAGGGTTTGAGGGGTGTCCTGAGCTGCATTCACCTTCGGCATTTCTGGTCTTCGTAGTGATGAGTGCGTGGAATGAGTGTTGCCTAACTGATATTGTTCCTTAGCCGAAGATTTGTCTGGGATACTGGAAGGGGGACTTTTAGAGACCCTTGAGGTCTCATTGGTGTGTTGCGAGTCGGAGCTTAAATGGTATCTTTCGCGTCTGTAGTGTTCGGCAGCCCCAATATTGCCAACTTGGTTCGCCGGTCGATCTAGGAGGCGGGGTCCGACTGTAGAATCCACATCTTTCGCTCGGTAGAGGAGAGTAAAAAAGTCTATCAAATAAACGATGAGCAATACTCCTAAGCAAAGCTGTCAGAAACGACATACAAATAAAGTGAAGAGAGTAATAGACGTGTCGTTAGTATTTATGTTTCTTGCAGATGCTGTACACATACTCATGCAATGAGAGTATACCGCACTTACCAAACCCCATTCTTGAGATGTGCGAGGGCGACGTATACATTTGCGTCTTTTGAGTTTTTTGAAGTTTCTGGACGACTTCTTCCTTCTCTTTTTTGTACCCGAGAATAAACCTTCAAACCAAGGCCTTACGTTGGATGATTGCTGCTGATGCCCTCTTTCATATATTCTTGTTCTTCCGTAAGACATAGTGCTAGGACGCTGCCCGTCGTCAGAACTTGGATAATCTTCCGATCCGCTGTATTCTGATCTACTTTGTTGGGATGATAACCCCCAAAACATTGTCGAGACTGTTAACGAAAAACGTCCGCGCGGCTCGATTGAGTTTGAAGACACCGAAACAGTATGTGGTAATCGAATGGATCTGCTCTTGGGGGGATATCTGATAAAGAAATTATGGTTAGGTACCCACTGTTCTTTCAAAGGAAGAAGTTACTTCGTCACTCGAGGAGAAACAATTGCCTCAAAAACATGACCAACTTTTGCTACCTGAAACCTCACAGCCATAAAAGTATTGTCTACATACAGAAGAGAATTTTTAGAAAGGGGGATTGCATTATTAGTATCGGTATAAGAGCAATGGGCGACCGGGGGTGGCAGTCAAAAAGGAATGCAGTATGCCGCGTTACGGAACAACGTTTGCTGACACAGTGGATGAGTTTGTGGAAAGCTGAACAATGCTGACAAACGGACATTGACAGGATATGCACACAGTATATGCTGAAGCTCATACCTTCGATGACCACCTGCACAACTCTTTGTATACATTGTTACGTTGTTTGTTGGAGGTTTTTTAAAGTGAGATTTATTACAGTATTGCTACAGTTGAAAGTTCTATTCTGGTTTCTGAGCAACCCGCTCTACAACTACGATCACTATACCATTCCATATGATCAAGAGCATCACTTTATGATTCATACCTTATGCATGTGAAATAGCGTCTTATGCGGACATTGCTCTTTGGAGATGTTTTGCACGCCCTGTAATCAGGGGTTTTGGGGTTGTAGTTTCGTGCAGTCCACTACACTGTAAGTGCTTATTCTGTTTGAGACCGACGTCAGTGGTAAATGAAGCTGGACGTTATTTCTTATATTCAAAGGCTCATGGGCTCTTTTCCGCAAACATTGTAGGAGAACGGGCGATTTCTTCAAAAGATAGAACGAGCCGATTCTCGTGCTTCATTTTCTATCACATACACGTGTCCAATAGACTGCTCTTTTTCGCGGGAAAAGCAGCCCGTTTGAAGGAAAAAAATTCCACAACTGGCAAATTGATCCACACGTAAGACTCAGGGCACAGTCCGCTCCTCTTCCACATTCGACGAAGGCGCAGGACTACAACCCACAACACATTTCTGTCTGAATTGTCGACAGGGATGGAGGTAGACCACCGCGAGCCTTGACGGCTGGTTAATCCGGGACGCATATGGGACAATGGGCCTCCGCTCTCGCATCGCAACGCCCGAAGCTGTGAACCTCTTGGAAGAAGCCCAATGCGCAACCCAATCTGAAACGTCCTCCATCCTCCAGAACCTCACTCTCCGCCTGCACACCCCCCACCCCACGGTCACCTCTGCCCTCCACGACCTCCTCCAAATCCACCCCCTCCAAACCATACCCCATGTCCCCGCCCTAATTCCTGGCACGCCTGCCGTTGTCGCCCAGTTTGTCGAATCGTTTTCCGACCTGCTCTCCGCGGATCGCACCCTTCTCGTCCCCATCATTGGCGCTCTGTCAGATCTCCCCCTATCTGACGCACACGCTACTCAGTCCCGTGCCACATTGCACTATGCGCTATCCGTCGTCGATTCGCACGACTTACCGGCAGTTGTACGTGCCCTCGCCAGGCTATGTGCTAATTCAAAAGCATCTTCCTCGGCTCGATGGGCGGCCAACGCATTGAGGAACGCGCTTGCAAAACCACCGGCTGATGACGTCATTCCAGTTCTTACTCATGTCTTTGAGGAAGTTTGCAGACCCGGAAACCATGTCGGGGCAGCACTCAGAGCACAGGCTGGAATGG